AGGACAGGAAGCAGCGAGTTGAAAAAAGAATCGGAAGGTGAGAGAAAAGAAAACCCGTGTGACGAACGCCTGCAAAGATGAGATCGAGGTCCTTACTGATAAATTTGTATTTATATTGTCGAAAACATAATTAAAAAAAAAAAATGGAATATTTTCCGCAACAAATATTACAGAAAACACTATGCAATCTTACACTTTTAAATCATCTACAAACCGATTTAACCGCCGAGTTAAATAAAATAATAGAGACCTAATTATCCAAATTATCTTAGAGACTAAAGAAATTGTATAAGGCTCTGCTTCGAGTCAGCAAACGAGTTACAAAGTAAAACTTTAACAAAATGACAAGGTAAAAAGGAAGGAAAGTATCGATCGAACGATCGAAGGACAAAGGGGGAGCAGGAAAGAGCGACAAGAGAAACGAATCAGAAAGGAAAAATCGTGGGATGTTACCTCTTGCTGACGAATGCCTGCAAAGATGAGGTCGAGGCCTTTCTGTATCTCTTCACTGACTGGCGGTGGCGTGGGAATGTGATCTCCGGTCGCGTGAAAGCCAGTCTCATCGGCCGTATAATGGATGGTGATCAGCTTCCCCTCGGGACTCGTGTATGAGAAGCTTCCTTGTTGGACCAATGCTTCTCCTTGTTCCTCGCCTTCGCCTACTTTCTTAATGTAACCGCTCTCCTCCGCGATAATATTGTTTCCCGTTTCGTAACTGCGGATAATTTATTCACATGAAATTTCTTCTCGAAGACTTCGCCTCGTCTTCAACCTGCGTGGCCGCTTCATCGTCAGCGTTTTCGCGTTTAAAATGGTGCTTTCGCTAGCGATTGAAAAGTGAAAGCCTCTGTCGTAAAACTGTGTAAATTCGTAAAATCTACGTAAGCTTCGTTCCAATTAAATTCGATTAAATTTGTAAGTAGTTTGCAGTATTTTACTGTAAAATTTAGTTTATACTTGCCGAAAAATTAAACGAAGTAAATGTGATAAATTAGTATATATGTGAAGTATGTCATATATATATTACAACAATAACATATATTGAAATATAGAATGAAAAAAAAATGATTGTATAATATTAATGAACAGATTGTACGATATAATTCATGATAAAATAATGGTAATACACATATTGTATAACATAATGAAAAATAAAGATCTCAAATCGAACGAATTGTAAAATATTTAATCGTGTAATATTTAACAATATTTATAAATTCATTCAGAATATATTAATTTCTTAGAATTCGATTAATCATAAAATTACAATATTATATTTCAATTAATCAATTATGAAATATTTTGTAAAAAACGTATTAACAATATTCGTAATAATATAAAATAGTGATTAATAATATTATAATATACACACACACATATATATATATATATAATGTAATATTGTACAAAATGAAATTATATGTTAATTTATATATTAGAGAAACACAATTAAAAATTGGTACCTAGTTTTGTAAGTTCCATCATGCTCTTGCTGTTTGTTCCAATGTAAAATTGGAATAGGTGTGGTCGTCAATGGGCCTCTCCTCTCGTCACTTGGAGGATTCGATCTATCCTCGTGGTAACTGTTACGAACATTATAATTCGAATCTTGCGCTGCTGCCAATCCAAAAATTATCGCTATCACCTAATCATCAGAAATTGTTAATTTATTAAACCAGATTCAACAAATACTGATTGTTCGCAGGAACAAAGGCATTAACTCTACTTTTTGCATTTTTTTTTCTTTCTTAAATATAAAATATATAATTTTTATATTATATTTAATATTTTTATATTTATATTTTATATTTTTTTTTTCTTAAATATAAATTCTTAAATATATAAATAAGTTCCAAAGCTTTATTTGGTCTAAAGTAAAGTTTTCTTAACAATTAGACTTGAGAAGACTGAAGGACACGACAATCTTTTTCGACCACGAAATAATAAATAATTTGTTATAGAAATTAATGCGATTGTTCCAATTTATTTTATATCCCATGTTACATTTCAAATTATATTTTAATTATTTCATATATTTAATTGTAGAATATATATAATTCCTGTAACATTTATTCGGTTTTAATTCAAAATATCTTCCTATATAATATATATTCGGTTAATTTAAAAAAATCTTTGACATTTTGTCAATTTTTGACAAATAAATTGTTTTTTTTTTTAACGAAGAAAATTGAAGATATATTTAACGTTTAGTGTTTCCCACTATCTCTAGCTTAATTTTATGCAACTAAAAATTTATTGATCTTTCCGTAAATAAGAAAATTAAACTTTTATGTTTCATGCTTTAAAATGTTACACTAAATAATAACTAGATAATTAGACTGAGGAATTTTATGCATTTTTAAATTTTTATGTGTAGTACGTAGCTAAAGAAATGGAACTTGAATAGAAATTACTATACATTCTGGTGAATATTTTACTTTAGATATTTTTGTATGTTACGTCTTCTATAAAAATTCTTAGTCCACTGACAACTACTATTATTTTAATAAATAGCAGAGATTATAATTATAATATTTATCGCTTGAAATGCAATGAATTTTTGAAAACATTAATCGCTAAAATTTTCTCATTTTCTAGAAATTAATTTTTAATTAATATTTACAACAAAATTGCTAGACTTATGTAATGAAATATTATAGTACACACAGAGTTTCTTTTACGTTAAGTTTCACAGAGTTAATCGATTCGATCGATGAACGATTTTTTTTT